AGACAGGTGACTGAGGAGTAAACCTGGGGTGAAGACACCCACAAACAGTGGGAAGAAGAAAAAACATCAGGAAACAAAAAAGGAATGACGAGAGAGGAGGAGGAGAATCAGATACATTGCAAGGATAGGAAAGTGTTTCATGAATGCCAATAATCAGCATCAGAAAAAGGACAGAATATAATGCACATAACAAGGCCAACTCCTCACATTTATTTGTGTTGACATCAGTTGCTGTTTATGAGAAAATTGAGTAAGACACACTCAAAGAGAAAGTAATGTTTAACCTTTGCCAAAGCCCAATTGCTCAAAGTCCACAGAACTGGTTTATAAACATGAAGTGTACCTGGGATACTGGAAAACAGCACCTGGGATGCAATATCATTCCTTGCATAAAGTATCAACCTTCGTGATGGTGAGGGAGAAAGAAAAATTGAACAAGATCTTCGTAAACATCTCTCTGTATTTCCGCAAGGAGACATAGTTAAGGAAACTTCCACCTTATCTTCCCAAAACAACACCTGATATTCAATTAACTTGAAAAAAATTTTTGGGTGATTTCACTGAGCTGTCATTTTAAAAGGAATAAAACTCAAAAGCTACTTCCTTCAGAATCTCATGCCCCTAACACTTATGGGATTGTGCTTTCTTGTCATCTCTTTCCCTTAATCATATCTTCTCTAAATGTTTCTCATTCATTTCTCTAATGTGTGGGAGTTCTGGACTATCAGATGAAAGGGACCTTATATACATCAGAGACTCATTAAAGGAAACTAAAATAATACTACACCAGTGCCCAAAGAGAAATATATAAAAACTGGGAAAATGAGCAGTATATTTCCACGCCTATGGTATTTCACTTTGCACTAGAGAAAGATGAAGTAGCGACGTAGGACGTATCTATTGTTTATTCTTGGAAACGACAAAGAGAAGAAGCAAAGCCAATGAAAGCAGGATTCTGCTATCATAATAAGAAGGAGGTGCCAATAAGAAAATGTCAAGGGAGAAGAAAGCTGCCTTGCAAAGTAAGCCAAAAGGACATATCTATAAATTTAAGTTGGCAGTTTTCATTTACTTGTTATTCATACCCTTCAATTTAACTGTCATAGCATCATTAGAATCTTGGTTAAGCTTCCTGGTATCAAGCCTACTTCATTTATATATATCACCTTTGTACATGTCATTCTATTGGCTGAAATGTTGGTCACAGTCAGGAAGACCTGGGTTCTAATATGACCTCTAGCATACAATGGTAGTGTGACTTTGGACAAATCATTCAATCTTCTCATATCCCAGGCAATTCTCTACTTTAACCTGCAAAGCAAGGCCCAAAAATAAATAAACAGATAAATAGATACATAAATGAAATTTTTTTTTTTAAATGTTCTTGCCACTTTCACTCCGTGGCTCTACCAGGATCAAGTCATAGCCCAAACTCATATGCACATAATGGCTGCCCAAACCCCATCACAGTATAATTACAACACTGCAATTAGATAATTGCAAGAGAAGTCCAAAGCCATGCGTATATCCATGCATGCAAGAACAATGGTAAGAGTACCAGTGTAAAGTGTAAAGCCCAATCAGAAATAGCGACATAACCTAGGGGCAGAAAAGATACAGGGCTGCAGAACCAGACCAAGATGGATTCACTCAAGAATTAGTGGAACAAATAGATCAGTCAACACAACCACCACCCCAGAGGAAATGAGCTTGAAAGGCATGACAATAGAAGGCTAGGAATACAATTTCCCAGGGGGCAGTGTGAGATGGGGGTAGGAGAGAGGAGTAAAGCTTTTCCCCAGGGTTTAAGCCCTGGGGAAATTGAATTGAATTGAAATTAAATACCAAAATTTCCTCTTCTATACGAATCCCTAGCTTCCTTCAAAATTCAGTTTATGGATTGCACCTGAGAGAACGTTTTTCCTGATATTCCCAGCTGTTAATGCTTTCTCCCCTAACACAACCACAAGTAATGGTTCAAGTTGTCCCCATCACCTCAACAAAGGTGTTCCTTGAGAGCAAAGGAGAGCTTCCTTCTTTGTCTTTTCGTTACCAGGCCTTAATACAGTTGACTGGCATCATAAGTAGGCCCTCAATAAATAGTTGCTGAATTGAACCGGAACGAACTTCCACCAAGGCCAGGATCCTCCACTCATTGTCTGGGCTGAATCTGAATTCCCTGAGAAGCCTGTGAAGAAGCTTTTTCCCAAACAGAGCACAAAGACCAGCACTTTCAGCCTTGGTGCATCACTCAAAGTGGGGATGGCTTCGAACTCAGAAGGGAAGGGAGACAAAAGAGTAGAATGATAAGAGGGACATCCAAGAGGAAAAATGAAGAGAAGGGAAAAAGCCTTGTGGTACACCAGAGAAGCATCAGAAAGATGAGCTAAACTAGCACATACAAGGAAAGACAGAGACAAAGAGATTTGTAGAGAAATTCTTCTACAAAGAATCCCTATCAGATATATGGTATCCTTAATTCAAAATATTTAGATACAGGCAAAATATAGCTTTATAATTAAATGTTGGAAACCATGAAAGAGTTTTGCCAAGTATGGAGTCCCCAGTTTTAAGAATTTCTGACCTATAGTTAAATCATTTATTGTTCAACAGAGTCAGCACCATAAAATCAAGAAAGGCTACGGAATGTCAAAATTGTGATTACCTGGTTTATACAAAGTCAATTCATTTTAATCAGTAATTTCACTGCCTGTATCTTAGTCCTATTGCTTTATTTTTTTCATTGTGTTTACTTTTTGGCATTTTCTATGAACCTGCTCCCTCACCCTTAGAAACCACCCCTCTCTACACCCTTTTCTGCTTTGCAGCATCTCAAATATATTTCTCCTTTTCTTTAGTTCCTCGTGTCCCAAGGATAACAAGGGGCTTCACAAGAACTGACATGAAGATGAAAGATTACTAAAAATCAGTCGGGGATTCCTGTATCGACAGCCTAAGAGTGTCTTCACCAAGTCCTGCTGCTGCTTCCGGGGGTTTCAGGAGTGTTCCAGGATTCACTGAGCAACAGAAGTAAATTACCAAGACACTGGGGTTGTGATGGCAGCATCTGAGAGCCATGCCCCCACACACAAAGATGCAACAGAGCTCATAGCTTCTCAGGAAGCGTGGCTGAAAAGAGTTCATCACCTACTTTTCTAACTAGAGACCCTATTCTAGGACCTACCCTACTCAAGCTAGAAAAAAGAGTCTGAAGACACTTTTGAGGAGATTCCAGAAACCCAATGGTTCTCCTACAAATGCACATCATCAGAAAAGTATTCAGCCCAAACCAAAGATCTATATTATATATAGCCAAATAACCAAGAGATTGGTGCAACATAACTGCCATATAGCATGGCTAGTCAAATCCAAACTGAAAAATGATAAGAGGCCATGAATAAGCATTCATGAAAAGAGGCATAGTTCTACAGAATGTGGTTGCTGTTATAAAAACTCTGGCTCAAAAGGATCTTGTTCCTTCAGACAGGTTTAACACAGGAAAGCAAAACTAAATTGCAATCCCTAGGAGTTCTGAAAAAAAATTAGTTTTGTTTAATCTCCCACATACACAGCAAAGCACTTCTTGCTAAATAAAGGTAGTCATATTTTCTACATGCTATCCCAGATGCTAATATTTCTGAAGGGCCCTTTCCTGAATATTTGAATTGTTTTAAGAAGCTTAAGCACCTAAGGAAATAACATGTGCTTGTCACTCTACACAGCAAATTTGTCCAGAGTACAAAAGAAACATAAAATCCTCATTTTCTGCAGTACCAGGTAAAAGAGGCCATCTACCCAGAGGAGACTTAGTGCAATTATGTCAAGAACGCTCAAATATTAATCTTTGAGGTACTTGGGGAAACCCCAACGTTTTCACATCTATTTAGACACTGATCCTTTAGTAATATATATATATATACATACGTATGTATGTATGTACGTATGTATGTATATATATTTAGAAAGAGTTTTCCTTCTGTTTCCATCTATATCAATATATATTCATATAGATATATCTATATCTATCTAGGGGGAGCGAGAGAGTACTCTCTTAGAAAGATAGATATAGTTATGTATGTATATATTAGACATATATCTATCAGGTATATTCTTTTTTCTCTTAGGGATATCTATATAGATATATAGATATGGAGAATGAATATTCTCTATGTGTATTGACATAGCTATATCTATATATCGATATCTATACATCTTTATATCCCTAAGACTTTAGAGACATCCTTGTATATGCATTAATGATACCTTTCTAAGGTATAGATATAATGTATACATATCCTATATGCATATA